GACCCTTAATGCCCTCAATGCTACAATATAATACCTTTTGATCAACCTGACACATAAGCAACTGATAATGTAGGAAACATCAGACAGTTGTATATAAATATTTGCATGAATTTGCCAAAGAATTTACAATTTGTAAAAAAAAAAATAAAAAAAAACTATGAGAAATTGCTTATATGATGTGCACAAGTGACTTCATGATGTGAAGGTTGAAATTTATGAAAGCGACTGAGAGAAACTATAAACTCTCTTCTTCCCTTTAAAAGCTTAACAGTTGTTTTGGACCTGAAACACACTCTAATCCTTAAACTCTTCCTTGTGGGACTTTCATGAACTGAATGAGAGAAGACAGGAAGGATGTGATTTCCAGTGTTTTAGTGTCTGGCTCATATCCAAAGGGAATGTGGTCAATCTTTGTACTGTGAGGATGAAATAGCTGAGCTTTTACAAAACCAACAATGACTCGATGCACTGGGTTTGTCCCGTGCACCTGGCTTTGCTTAATTTACTATATTACAATTGGTTTCTTACATTTGGTGTGTAAGTGGAAAAAAAAGAAATTACAAAATGCTTTCTAAGTGTGGCAAGCTCCATACTTACTAAACACAAATATATACATATATAACATAAATTTAAAAACCATATTTAAGCTTCTTTTTGTTGACAACAGCTACAGAAAATTCAGTCTGTCCACCATACGGGGACATGTCATATTGATTAATGTCACCATGTTTCCGCCGTAGAACAGGCAACATCAAAATATTGCCTGGATTTGTGCACAGGGCAGGAAGGTAAGATGTTGGCAGCCACCAAAGTCACAGTAAGTGATGGAATGTGCTGCACTCCATATCTGATTCTGGTCCTGATACTGAGCAGAGAACATGGAGGAAAAGGTAGGAGACACTACCCAGAGACCAGAGCCAGGTCAGGACACCACTCAGATGGGCAAAGAAGGCAACCGTTCCCGGCAAGAAACGAGATCACATTCTGCTCAGCACCGTGGTCTGTATAAAAAAAATCCATCTTTCAAATTTCCAACAATAGGAAATTATAAAATAAATATTGTGTTCATGCCAGCACTATTTTGTTGCTATATTAAGTGAATATGTTTGGTGCTCAAAAGGAACTGATCATTGTTCTGCTAATGGCACACTGCTGGGTGCCCTTGGGAAGATTTAATAAACTCTTAGCTTATCCATTTAAGCCAGCATATGCCTGAAACCGTTGCTCAAAGCAACACGGGAGTCAATGTCTATTCAATAAGCAATCGATGTTTCCTGCTGCTACAGGAAGGGATTGTTCTGATCCTTCCCGTTCAATTGTGTATATAAACACTATGTTTCTGTATATTTACAGTACATGTGTGTGTGACAGAGTACACATGTAGTTTATATTAGTATGTATATAGCTAGATTTTTTTTAAAAGACGAGTCCTAGATGTGTTTAATTATCTGTAGAACACACACACGTGCATGGCTGCTATGGACAGGATTTATTTTAAGGCAGCAGTGACTCTCATTGTTTCTTACAGCATTTTTTAGAAATTGTACATAGTTTGTTTTATAAATGGGGAGTGTTTAAAATACAGTTAATATAAAAAAAGGTCCAGCCTTATGCTTTAAAACAATATTATTTGATCCCCTAGGGACGTTTTGTATTTGTCCGTTTATAGTTTAGCGTGTGTCAACAAGGTATTATGAGTTGGATGGCACACGGGGCGACATGGAGCCCAGCAGCAGCATCCAGACGTTTATCACACTTCTGTTGCAATCCAGAGTGGCAGCACTTTGTAGTGGAAGCTATTCTTAGCCTCAGTGGGTCCATAGTCAGGGCTTGTTGGAACCAGAGCCTGTAGAGCCCCACAGGACATCTGTGGTAACTTTATGGGCGAATGACACCTATGTGCCTACCACCATCACAGGCCACAACACGCCGAGGGTTTCTTGATCATTACTCTCTTTAGTTCTGTCCCGTTTCCTCTATATATGTTCTATATGTCTCTTGTCAGTGCCTACTCTCTTTTTCTTTCCCTCTATCTCAGCTGCATTCCCTGCACCATCACCCAAGAGAAAGCAGAAAGGAGCACAGAAAGAAACAAGCAAAGCCAGTGAATTTCTCTAGGCTCTCTCACTGTCGTCTTCTCACACTGTCCTCTTGCTTCCCTTGTCAAGCGTCAAGTCTTTCATCTCATTCACCTCTCTTTAACCTCAGTCTTGCAACATGTCGATAATTTATTGCACAACACCATCATAGACTGACAAAATGGGTTTTCAGGTGCTAACTAAAAAGGTTTCCTCTCTCTTTTCAGTGTTAAATATCTCACAGTCTACCCTTAAAGCATAAATCAAAAAAGTCAAAGCAACTGGTGCAATGTGTCTAACATTGACCATCAACTGTGAACATGCACTGTCCACTTGAGTGCAGAGTCAACTGATCTCTGTCATGTGTTCTCCCCATCATTGATTTATCCATTATTGAATGTCTTCACCATATTTGTCCAGCATCCACAGTTACCACTGACAGAAAGCTGAATGTTTACAGATAGGACAACTCTTGTCTTGGCAGCCCGAGTATCCAGCACTCAACTCAGCAAGTTACAGATCAAAGATGTGCAGGATGATCAAATGAATGTATGCTCTGCAGACAGCACTGTTATACAGTCCATATCTGTGACCTAGATGTGAGTGTCAGAATGCATGGCCACATGTAACCACAGTAGCACATAGATATCAAGGAACTGTGCGAATCTGTGGCTTATTGCTGACAGATCTGTATCTTGCAATAAGGCCACAAAGCCTCACCCTGATAACGTACAAATCCATAACACACCACAGCAATAACTCATAGCAGTAGCTTACCAGTGTGTTATAACATCAAAGGTGATCAATTTGAAAAGCTTTTATATGATGTTGTGGACAAAGATTTCTGGCAAACATAGCTATATCTTGGTTTCCTGCCACATAAGTACACTGAACGCTTAACACAAATTGCAGATCACACTTTAGGATACTGGATAGATACTGATGCTGTTTTGCTCCTGCCACAAAAGATGAGAGTAGTCAAAAAGAGAAAGCAGAGAGAAGTAATTTTGTCCGTTCCCACAGGAATTCTGATGATATAGTCCTTATCTACTACAGATAAAGACATGAAACAGTGGAAAATCCCTGCTTTGACGAACCTCGGGATGCTGTACAGTACTGACATACTGTAAACAGGGGGGTGAAGAGATCAAAAAGTACTCAGTACTTTTAGCTCCCAGCCCACAGTCTGCGCCATTTAGCCGGTGCACAATGTGCTGTATACATACAAGGATCAAAAATATATGTAACTTATTATCAAACGTGTCCCCTAAGTCCGTGTTATTGTTCAGCATTAGAATCCACAAACATAATGGAACTCACAACCGTGAAAAGTTCACCCTGCTGATTGCAGCAGCACTTAAAGAGCAGAAAATTACTTTATGCATCACACAATTGCACTAACGTATATTCTGTATGCATTGAAACACCTGTACCTCCAGCTAATGTTTGCAAATTGCCACTAAAGACAACATACATCGAGGCATCGCTCATTCATGGAGTGCACCTGTATGCTCAAAGTATGTGTTATGTCACTGCAACAGATGTGTTGGGGTGGAAATGAATATGTTTAGTTATGTCTGAGAGTTGTTTACCTACCAACAGGCACATTTATTAGCCAAAGCACAAGGGACTGAGGGCCCACATGTTGTTCTCTCACTTGCGTGATGCTGCCCATGTGGGTCTAATTAGGATCAAAATCACTCCTGGACAATTAACTCCCATAACAATTAAATTTTTATGTATTCAGTGTTAACATGTTCATTGAGAAGCGCTAATAAGTTCTGCCTGGTACATGATTAGACACTTTTCCACTATACAACACAGGATTCATTTGTTGATGTCTTGCAAAACTGCAAAGTATATTGTAAAAAACAAATATTTGTTTAATGTCGAGCTTGTACATACCCTGGCCTCAGATATTAAAAACACAGTTATTGTTCAATTATCCTTAATGAAGGTGTAGTTATCCCTTGTTTTGGTTGGAGGTGCAAACTGTGTCTTGATTTTGGACTTGGTTCTGCTTGACTGAGTGAATGTGGTCTGTGGCGTGCACTACAGTTCACCTTATACAGCACACAGGGTAGACACCAACAGAGACATCCTACCGCAAAATGAAATGCAACTGCACCTCAGTTTTCATCACAGTTACTGTAAGGTTAAATATTTCCTCTCTGTTTCATCAAAATCTTGCATTTTATTTTTCACAATGGTAATATTTACTTATATAATTTTATAATATAGCATAAGTAGTTATTGTGTTCACTGCCTTTTGTTTTAAGATTAAGATTACCACACTACACTAAAGTTGCACAGATGAAGATTATAAACCTTTGTTTAATAAGTGGAATATATTTTATTTCTATGCAGCTTGATGTAATTTTAAGAATATAAGAAAGTGTGCAGTTGTGTTTCACCAGAGAGAGAAAGCCAACAGACAAGCAATAAAACTAGTAGGTTGAACAGGTGTGTTGTGATATACAACACCGCATTGTGGTGCACATTGACGTCCACTTGTAAAACACACTTGTGGATTTGACAGGCTGCAGACCAAGTGGAGAAGCCAGGCAGACGATCATTTACGTTGCACTACATTTAAACGGGAGGGGTAAGTGACACTGCCTGCAGTTGCTAGAATTCTGAAATCGTTTTCAGAAATTAAATTGTCCCACTAGCCTAGTACATACAAGCCCACCGTGACCTGTAAGGTACTGGGGCTCTGGTATTACCTAGGTTTGTAAGTCTTAGCAATAGTGTTTTGAGCAAAAACAATTATATAATCTCCCTATGATATTACTATTTACTGTTGCTTTTAAACATCTCCCACGGCCTTAATGTTGTTGTTATTATCACATTAGTGATGACATTTAGCTCATTTGAACTCCAAACAGAGACACAGTAAAACTAGAATATGAAGAAACTGACCGTTGGCAGGACAGGATTCCGCTGATCTCCCCGGTCTGTACTTCACTGCTGCTCATCTTCTGAGCAGGATCTGGCGAACTAGATTTCCTCCCAGTTTAACTGTAATCCAACTTTCAAAAGAAATGACCGTCTGCGTTCAGCTTCGGAAGGAAGTCTTCTGTGCTATCGGAGACTGCAAATAACTTAGCAGTGTCTGCTTTTGCACAATAAAAAGTGAACGGTTTAGCTCGGAGTGCGCACCGGTAGGCTGAGTGCGCGCAAGCCGCACCGCTGCGTCCTTGCGCTCGTTGTAGCCGTGTGACGTAATAGACGTGGGATATCTAAACCTGGGACGAGGGGTGTAGTGTGTGTGTGTGTGTGTGTGTGTGTGGGAGCGCGTGCGTGTTCCTGGCCGACTGGGGGCTTCAGTTTCACTCCGATTTTATAATTAGTTTATTGGGCGAGTGAACTCTGCTGGTCGTCATTTTATAAAACTACTTAAAATCCTCTTTTTTCCTTGGCAAGGCAATTTCAGTTTGTCTGCTGAATGGAACTGTTCATTTTATTAATAGGATTTGGGAAATAGTTCTTTACTGTAAATGAGGGTTGACTTCTGTGGGACCACCACTGAAATGCCAGGGCCAGACTGACAGTGAGTTTTTCTTCTGAGCAGAGGACTCATCATGTAAGAAATGTGGATTGTGATTCGGCTTAAGGTCAGACTGATGTGTTTACAAAGGTCTGGAGTGAGCAAGCTACTGGAAATGCATTGAAAACTGTCAGCAGTTCGCCACTGCAGAATTATGTTTTCGCACTGTAGAGCTTTGCCAGATATTAACACTCATTCAGGGGAATTTTGGCTGATCTACCAACTAATCAGTCACCTCACCTCTCACTGAATTTGACCATATATGCCACTGTGAATAACATCTGGCCTAACACCTAACAGCACCTAAATGAAGAGGTAGTAGAGACTGATTTATGCAGTGAATCCTTGAACAAAACACAATGTTTCTCCTTGCAAAACACACACACTTCTTAACCTGAACTTTGCCCATAAACAGTTTCAAGGTTCAAGGACCTTCAGCATGTGTCAATAAGCTCTTTAGGGAAGATCTGCACAGGATTTTGCCTCCAATAAAATATTGTAAAATTGAGTTTGCTGCCCTTCATAATACACTATGGCCTATAATTTCATGCTTGCATTGGAGAACGGTGAATTTGCACTATATGCCCTCCTTTATTATTGATCCTGCTTATTGTATCAAGTGTTGCCTTTGACTTATTAACCCTTTCACCTTTTAGGTAATCTATCTTATGAACTTACTGTACTGATAAGACCCATAAAATAACAATAACAATGTCAGCTGATTCAGTTTCTTCACCTATACATTTCTTATCAGCCATGTGCTGACACAGATGTTAAAAATCCCTGACTTTGAACAAGGAGACATATGGAGAGAAGCAGCTTTTGTCACTTTTGTCCTTTCAGTGTGAAACACAGAATATAGAAGAATAAGACTTAACTGAGTTGTGGTGCTAAAAATGCCCCATGGTTTCTGAGGCCCCAGTGTCAGTCAAAATGCTACAACAGGATTTTTAATTAGCTTGCTTGCCACTTATAGGCTCAGTTTGCCTGTAAATGTTACAGTCTCTTGCTTAACCACTACTAATGTGTGTGTGTGTGTGTGTGTGTGTGTGTCAGGGAGAGCAGTTCTGAGATCATCCCGCAGAGGGAACCAGTGGACCAATGCCAGCACAGTGAGAAACAGCTGAATTAATACAAGTAATGAGACCAACATAATTATAGTTTTTAAAAATGGCTTCCAATGCATAAAAATCATATACATGATTTTCCTGTTGCCTCACTGTGGTCCTCCCTCTGTCGTCTCTGCAGACTGCTATCTCCACATTTTTTATGTCCACTTTGTAGTCACATTACTGCATGCATATCAGTCAGCAACTGTATGCAAGGCAAATATTTGAAGAGAGATTAGCACCACTCCATAAAAGGCAATGTGAACATTTTATGTATATTATGTAAATTAATTAAACTTCTGAGATAAGTATAATGTTTTATGGTGCCTAAGTTACTAAAAGAGATTGTGTAGGATGAGAGCGAAGCTCTGCAGTTTTATGTGACGCCGGTAACAGTTACTTTCCTGTGTTATCAAAGTATTTGTTTACATCAGAATAAATAAATGATGCAAATATAACCAGTGGAACATACTGCTTCTGTAGAGACTTCTGCTCAGACAAAGTAAAATATTTCTGCTATACGTTTCTGCTCATTACCATGACAACTTTGCCCAAATAGCATTGAGAACATTCAGTGCTGAGGTGAAAAAGGTTGTTAAAAACAAGTTGGCACTGGGAATTGACAGGTGTGAGTGCACCACATAGCAGTGTGTTGTTTGTCTGGATCAGCTGTGGCCTTGCCTCTGGTCCTCTGAGTCCTCAGAGACACACTTGTTTTAAATGTCTGGTCATGCTCTTTGATCCTGGACATTCAGATGGCATTTGGAAGGATCATATTTTTCATGTCAAACAATGAGATTAGAGCACTGTGACATACAAAAATAATTTCATAGTTCTGAACCTGATAAAAGGCTTTTGATGTAAAAACGGCATTTGTTCATAACATACGATTCAGAAACTTCTGGGTTTACATTACAGCTCAAGTTCTGACTTTGTTCACTATTAAAATCTCACTGATTAAAAGGCTAAGCTTGAATTTGAAAAGAAGGAGTCTACGCTCGAGCTACTGTAGTGGCATAAGGTACCGCATATGAAGTTGGCTGAGCAACACAATGGAGCAACACACATACATTCCCAAGTCAGGCAACATGAGCCAACATACAAAGAGCCAGTCTGCACTTGTGTCCATTCAAGTATTCGGTGCACACATGATGGCCCGAGTGTTCTTCAGCCAGATCCCATCAGCAGTAATGTGAAGGTGATCAGAACGAGATGATAGATGCTCAAGCATGTTCAAAGGTTATCTGCTCTGTTCTCACCCTTATAATCCTGCGCCAGCCAACTGGTAAAACCATGATTCTCCCTGTGGAGGCAGAGACCGGAGTGGGCAGTACATCTTATCAGCTGGATGTTAGCCACTGCTAAGTGCAGGCTGGGTTCATGGCACTCAGAGAGCTTTTATAATGATGGAGCATTATTGCTTAAATGTAAAATAAAAACATACTCACAGAGCTATTCTTGAAGAAGTTAGAAACATCTTATCCAAGCGCATTAATCTGCATGGCAGAGAACACAGAGTACACCACATATATAGTAAAAATGGTCCACATTAATTCATGATAATATTAGATCTCCCAACAACAAGAAAATGTTTCCTGTTGCTGTAATAGTTGATGAGTGAAACCTCACTTCTTAAAAATGTTACTCAGGCTTTGACAGGAAATAAGTAAATAAATAATATTTGAGATCATAAAGTCAGTGGTCAAACTGGTCAATATACATGAACAGATGGTGAAAACATGATAAAGAAACTGTCAGTGTTACTGACTGCAGGTAACTCTGCTAGTCCACACAACATGTCCACTGCTGCAGAGAAGGACTCTTGAATCAGATACAGAAAGACAAACTTTCTTTCTTTCCTTGATGGAGAGAACTGTACACAGCAAAAGAGCTGCTCAAACAGTGTGTATAATTATTCTGAGAACAGTGACAGGTGTTTATTCCTGTGGACTACGTACGTACAGTACAACAGAGCCCAGCAGTTCATGTCACAGTGTTGAACCGTGAGTGTAAAAATGGTCATTTGGCAGATAGTGTTATCGCCTTTTTCACGCACACTGACCAACAACAACACACTCAATTACTGTACTTCCCCATGTCCCACCCTTGAACCTACAACCGCTGACAATACAGCAGCCCAGCAAACCCGCATAACCTTTATGAAGCTGTTATGGAAAAAGAGATCAACATTCATTTAGAATCATAACAGGATAAGTTTAGTTTTGTATCCACCATGCTGCTGTGATTGCATTATTCAGTCTTCCCAATGCATCTCACAGTTTATGACAAGCTGCAAAGCAAGTGCCTATGCTAACATATAATTTGACAGATTATGCTGTATTCATGCCTGGTTTGTATAATGCTGTGCATTGTTGATGCTCGTGCATTGTAATCAGGTAATCCTGTGGGTCCGAGCTCAAACATTCAGTATACAGTATGTGCAGCATCTGCTTTGTGGGCTTCCAGTATATGTTGCCGTGTGTTGATGGGAAGTAAAACAAATAATTTATGCATTTTTAAAGTTAATGAACTATAAATGATATTAGATGTTAGAATTGTTGAATTAAAACAATTAATTAAAAATGGCAAAAACATATCTGTCAGCAATTTTGAACATTTTTGACTGATTAAAAATTTGCACGTCTGCAGAAATGGCTCCATAATTGTACAGATTAATCAAATTCTCAAATGAATGAGCACATTTGTTCCTGTGAGAGGTAACCACTCATGTTATGCTGCTTAAATAAAATAATTGAGGTGCATACAGCTATTCTACATACTGTATGTCATCACAGTAAAATGAATGCAGTCAAATCAGTTCATTCTTCGGATGATTTGCATTTAATTTGGCTCCAAAATTCATTATCCAGCATCTAAAAATGATTCCATAACTGCTGAAGTGACTCAAATCACAAACATGTGAAGTGTTATTCAAACTGGCAATTGATCTTAAATTTTCCGTTTGCCCGAGCACATCTTGGTCTAACTGAGCCACTGCTGGACTTAACAGGCAGGCACTGTGCAAATGGGATTACTGAGAGTGTAATTACTGCAAGTGTGAAAAGTGGAAAGAGCAGATCAAGTCACAAGCAAACTGATATTTAGGATATTGAATAATTAATCCCATAATGAACTAATTAACAATGTCCTTCAAAAGATTCATGCTGACAATACAATACACACTGATCCAATAACCTTGACACCACACAAATGCATCAATATTGCTACATGACAAAAGTATCTGAACGGTTTTGGTCTCACATAGTTTTCTTTTTTATGTAAAACCTTGTGGTCTGAATTCCTCTGTGTCTGTGTGCTACTAAAGGCAGACAGCTGTAATCCATCATGAAATAGATCTGTCAGTCCCAGGTACTGTTTGTCTTTTTCAGTATAAAACTGTGCTTGGCTGTTTTACTCTGTCATGAATCAGCTAGCCAGTCTTAGCTTTAAAATCACAAAACACCTGTTATGACTTGAAAAGTTAGATTTAGCAATTTATGCATTTACCATCTTGACAA